TAGCCGGGAAACGCTATTAATTGTAATACGACGGAAATTGAGTTTCTGGACGCGCATTCGCGCACGATCGCGTGCGTGCGTGCATATTTATGTGCGTATACGTTGCCTATCGCGGTAGCTGCACGTACAAGGGATGGTGATCTTGGTGAGAAGAAGGGGTCACATATGTGCCGAAGTGGGGCGAGACGCGAACGACGGCTCCTCCAATAATGTAATGCACTTTAGGTCCGTTCTTAAGCTTTATAAAATTCTCCCGTCTACGTAACGTCGGCTCTTTCCGTAAATGGGAACTCTTATTATGTCGATTGTCAACGCTGCACTTTCTATACGAGAGGAGACAGTTGCGACGTCCCGTTCCCCGCGGTTTGTACCCCCAATCTATCCGGAAGTAGATTTTTTTTTTTTTTTTACAAACCGAGTCTTGGTTCAGCGATTAGCGATTGAAACGCAGGCGTATATTTTTTTCTTTTTTTCTTCATGTAAATCAACGACAGTGCGAATGCGGTCTATCTCTTAGGTCTTGCACATTGGTGATGGCTCGGCGCAATAAGACACGCTAAGAATTCGACACGAGCTAACCTAACGATATACAGATTGTCCCAAAACCATCGCCACTTCTTTCACTCCCGCGGATGCTCACGTCACAGTGCGGTGTCGGTTCTTCCCCAAAAATATGTTTGCACGCCAATTTTGTAAGAATTTCTTATCTCGTTAGAAATATCACCGAGTCTTAAACAATAGGGTCTTATCGAGTAGAATTTCGTTATTAATGATGCAAAATCTTCGAAAGCCGTCTCTCGGGATTCGCAGGCGAGAAGAATGCCTGCAATTTTGGGACGTCATCGATAATCGTGAAGCGAGCGATTTATCGCGAAATGATTGTTCACAGAGAAAGCTTCATTCTCTCGTCCGGGAAATCGTAATGCGATTCCGTTATCGCCAGTGGACAAGACCGTTTCTTTTTTTTTCTTTTTACTGGTACAGATTCGCTACACACATAGAATATATAATATATTAATATTATTTATAACACGTTTTATATAATTACATACGTCTATATATATATATATCTCGAAATATCGTGTTAACGGATAGAGCTTTTCTCCTTTAAAATTGACTTAATCGTGGTAGTTGCGATTGAAGCACGTAGAGTAAAATCGCGAAACGAGGGGGCCCTCGCCCACTCACACGCGTCATGGAAGGAGCCGATGATATGTACCTAGCCTAATATAAATGTAATGCGAGCGCGTGTTTCATTTATCTCGACGGCGCGCGAGCGCTTCTCCCCGATCCGCTCCGCGCATCCCCGACGTCCCTTTCGATCCCCGAAATCGCCACCGCGGCGGACCGGCGGCGAACCTCGATTCGGTTCGAAAACAACGAGGATGTTGCCCGTCGAATTTGTTAGAAATTTCTCCTCCGATAAGAATCTATCGATAAGTATAGCTTTTTTTCCTGCTGGTTTTTTTTCTCGACAACATCACTCGCAACGTGATTTCTGCAAAGTCTGCAATATTTAATTTCTTATTTTCAAGCTAAATCTAATTTGTGGCTACATAATTCATTTCGGAAAGGGACAGCGCTGAAATCGACCGAATCGAGGACTCGATATCTCGGCGAGGAATCCGCGAGCGGAACGCGGAGGCGGCGGGACGAGAGAACGCGGCCGCGCGCGGACCAAAAAGCGTATCGTTCTAATAAAAACACACAATTGGTCGAATGCTATCACTAATAGACGCTAGTCTATCATCTCTTTGGGATGAGTGTACGCGACTCGGGCGATAGAAGATTATTTTCTTTATTACGATCCTCGCGATCCGCTTTAGACGCGACATACGAAAATGCGAAGTGTCGTCCGCCTTAGATATCATTAATCTACGTACCCCGCCGGAGGAAAATAAGCGAAGAATGCGGTACGCGTGTTTCTTCGCGAGAAAGTCTTCGCGATTTTTGCGATTGGAGCGACGTGCACCGGCAACACATTGTGGTCCGCTTATCGTTGTTCTTTAATCAACACGAGAAGGAGACGGGGCACTCCCTCGGCGTGCCGCTTTTACACGTAAGTTTACACAGTCACTGTGGATACAATTAATTTTGGTATCGATTTTGGTGCAACTAGTTAAAATTAGTACCATTTATGAAAATTGGTATTATTATTCGTGATTACTGATACGAACGATTGGTACCACCGATTAACTTTAAAATACGAGCAGTTTTTATATTTTGGTGCCATTGATTGACTTTGATACCGCCGCATTGTAAAAAAAAAATCCGGCAAATTTACAAATAAGATGCAAGAATTACAAGATAAATGACAAAAGTATATTGAATAAATATTGTCAATTTATTTCGTATATTCCCGTTATTTATCACGTAGATTTTTACATCTTCTTTCTGTTAAAATTTACTGAACTTTTTTACAATATATCTGAAAGTAGCATCTGTTAAATTTGATGCCGATTAACGTTGATACCGCTTCTTGATCGCGGTATCAACTTTCTGTCTTGTCACTGCAATCTTTATCATCTCAAAAAAATTTGATATCTTAAAGATTTTTGTCTCACTAATCCGTATTTATAAACTAGCTACTGGAACTACACGATGAACAATAGATCGCGGTGGTGGCGCAAGAAAACTCTTTGACCATCGCGCACTTCTACCACGCTCTTGACTAGTCTCGAAAGTACTTGACTCTTTTTTTTTTTATAATTCGGGATTTAGAACAAACATTCACGTTTAATATAATTAAGGCATACTCTAACGCTTTATAAATATTAGTTCATAGAAGATTGCCGTATCGGAGGCACGAAAGAGCGCGCGTCTCTGTAATATGCCGTAAGGAAAATGTACTGATTGCGAAGTCGCGACGTCTTCCCGTCTCCGCAATTTTAACAAGCGCGTTTTTTTGCCAATTCGCGAACGAAGATTCTCCCGAACGATTGCAATCTGCCTACCTCGCCGTTCCGCTAAATCTATCGATCTCTCGGTTACAAGAAGCTTCCGTACATACAGCCTGCTATCGTCCTCGAGACGTTTCGCTATAATTTTATGTAAATTACTGAAGCGCCGTTTCTCCGTGAAACCTGTAGAATACACAGAACTCAACTCCATTCATCGAAGCGCCGCGGTAGAATGCACTTCAATTAACGGACTCAATTCGCACAAATATCACAAACCTACGCATCGCGATGCAAAGTTTTTAACGATCCCGTCCATCCTGTTGATTCAGATTGCGAACTTTCCGGTTTACTTGGGACGCTGGCGGACGAACGGCACTGAGGGATGAATTGGAATTTTAATTAAAAGCTCCCTCCATCTGCTCGCTCTCTCCCACTCAAGTAATAATGTTCCTGATCGACAGGAAACCGTACGCGCTTTGTAACTTGACTCGCGCCGCGAGTTCTTTATCTTGTTTATGTCCAACATTCAGTATACTATCGATGTTCACGATTATGAAGTAATTCGATATTATTTCCACGGCGGTTCTTTATCAATCCGATTCATCTAACGAGATTAATGTACAAATATACAGCGTGTCCTAGCATAAATATCTTGTCTGAATCAACTTTGTATACAACAATTTCTGCGCGCCGGAATGATTAACTCTAATGTTAATTCTAAAGAGTGAAATAAGACAAGTCGATTACAAAACGTAAAATATATTTCCGGTGAAATAAACGGAAATAAAATCTCTCACGTCAGACTAGACAGCTACTCTCTATACAATAGTTTATAATGCAAGAAGAAAACCGAGTTTCAATTTCAGAATCAATTTCTATCTCTACTGTCTCCTAAACTGCACTGCTCAGATTTTTGCATTATATATCGTTTATATAATTGTACTATTTATTTATATTTATATATTTAACAGCAAGAATCCAGGTGGAGAGAGACTCTGGTAAGCTAAATTCCATCCGATTCACCATTCAGTTTCACTCGCCCGCCGTTAGTTTACAATTGATCGACCGACTGGAAGATTTGTTCAGAGAATACCTGAATAAACGTGGCGGGTTTTTTTTTTCTAAATCCACTAGCTATCCGCGCGGATCACAATGTGTTCCAAGCGCAACTAAGCCGCTTTGCACGTGAGAATTTATTGCGCTACGTGGCGAAAAGAGTACACGGAGTCGCCTTGTAGCGCGCCATGAATAGTGACAGCAAAAATTATCGTTGGCTTCGCGCCCTCAAACCGACTTATCACATTCAGCTGTTTGATCGATTCTTTCTAAAGCCCGCGATACAAATACACATGTGTTGTCGGTTTTTTTGCCCGAGCTCGCAGGTTGCACTGTCCGAAAGAACATCTCGCTGATTAATTTCAATAAACTCGAAGAGAATCTTTATACTATTTTAAACAGAATTTTCAATTCTAACTTTGAAGCATTAAGATCTAATTTTTATCATTTTCTAACAAAGACTTGCATTTTTCTACTCAAGATTTTATTAAAAATCTGCGCACGGAAGGATTAATAGTTATAGTTGTTATAAGTCGTAATAAGAAAGACTCGGGTATATCGCTAATTGCTACGAAAACTACGAAATATGTCTCGAAACTATCGGAAACAGGCAACGAAGTAATTACAGCGCAACCTACAACGTACGTCCTAGCGTGCACTGGAGCGCTCACGACAGCGTAACTCGAGGGAACAAATTAACGACAAAACACTTTAGGTATACCGCGGGTTTAACGATCGTTTCTCCTAGTCGGAATCGATTACCAAAATATGCACAGTGTACGTGTGTGTGTGTGTGCGTATGTCGTTAATTCTGTGCATTACGGCAAAGCATCGCAAGGTATATTTAGAAAAGTTTTCGCAGAAAAGTTAAGATCGCCCTGCAAGCTAGATCTCTGGTTTACAATTAGTTCCACTCCTTCGGATATCTTTTCCTTTTTTTTTTTTTTTTTTTTTCAAGAAAAAAGTAAATCGTATCCGAAGTGTGCATCGATCGCACGAAGATTGCGTCCAATTGGCAAAATATTCTGCGATGGCAAAACTTACCTCAAACAGCTTGGCGCAAGACACAGGATTCCCGACAGCAAATAACCAATTTGTCCGCACGAACCATAAGCTTCCCGACATATCCACCATGCGAGGAACGTCATGCGGTGATTTTGTATACTCGATATACGTGTGACACTTGTCCGTAAAGCTTAAAATATAAGCACGCAAAGCACCGTTGATCCCGGTGCACATTGTGTTTCTCGCGGGCGCATGTATTTCGATACGTAATACACTACACGAATAGAGAAGAGAGAGAGAGAGAGAGAGAGAGAGAGAAAAAAGGAGAAATCGAAGCCTCCGCGATGGGAGGCGTCGGAACGTCTGCGCGCGCGTCGACGAGCACGCTGTCGAAGACGCGTATTACAACGGAGATCTATTTATAAGATCTGATTTGCAGTTATGAGGCCGATTGAGCGAAGCCGATTAAATATTCCTCTTCTTCCTGCATCACGATTGCGATCATTATCGTGAATCATCCTTCTATACGAGTCTCTGAGTCAACGCTGCACGACGGAAGTTGAATCACATCGCGAGAAGGCCGATGACGAGCGAAGAAGAAATTTATGAAAAGATTCGCGGGGGTTCTGGCTGTTTCCCCGAAATCGATGCGTTCTTTTTTTCTGTCTTATCGCTTTCCCCCGCGACGGCCGCACAAGACACCGCGCGCGTGCAACGGAAGTTCAGTAGATCTCTATTGAACACGATAAACGTACATACGACCCGTATACCACAGGTACTATTCCGCATCCGCTGCACGTAATAGCGTTTGCACGGCGGCGATACCGTATTGGCATCGGCGAGAAATAACGGCGCGCGTGCTAGTCGACAAGCGCGCGGCTGAACGTTTAAGAGCTCTCTCGCACCCGATATAAAATTAACGTTATCTCCCTTAAGCGATATTCCCCCTATCTAATCGACATTACCTTGTAATTCGCAATTCGTTGTGTTACCACCTCGCGCGAGCGCGTAACAACGCCGTAATAACGCGGACGGCGGCACGCGTATCGCCGCCGAGTATCGTCCCTTCGTCAATCTTACGATCGACATATCTGCCGAAGGAGCGACGCGCGCAATCTTCAATTCTACGATTCAATTCTCTTCAATTCTACGAGAATCCTCGCTCCTGCGAATCTCCACTTTCGATACCGCGCATAAAACTCCGTTTGCACCGCAATAAATTCGTCTGCGCGGCTTCCAAACTCCGCACCGACTTCGACTCGATCCTGATCCAGATTAATCCTCTGATATATTGCTTATTTGAAAGTGAAATGTAAGATTACAAGTAAATCTCGATGCAATTCTTATAGTGTAAACTGAGACTCGGCGGAATCAAGTGTCGGAGAGTGGAATAAAGATCGATATAGTGATAATCGAATAAACAACTAACTCTCGAAATTGAAATCACAGTTCGCTTTGAGCTATTGAAATATATTTATATAGGATTGAAAAAGCAAAGCGTGCGATTGAACGTATAAAATTCTTGAGAAGATTCTACAATTACGTTGAATCTAACTACAGCTGACATCAAGATTGTTGTGAAATACATTCAAGAAACTATTGGTGGTGTCTTAAATGCAGAAATGTGCTCCATCTTGAGCAGATGATATTGTTGATCAAATGCTTGTAAATGCTCGTGAACGTTTTGTGACAGTCTTGCGATGTCAAGCAAAGTAACTTCCGACACGCCTGAGCTATTACGCTAATTCTATCGTAACGGAACGAGAGTGCTGGTGAAAACAATAGCGGCCCCGGCGAGACTCGTCGTGAGACTTGATGCACTCGCAAGGCTCCATTGACAAATCCAAAATGTAATTAGAATTGCGATGTTAATGCCGTGGAAATCACGCTCGTGATAGGCGAAATTACAGGGAGTTACTTGCAAAGTCCTCGCGACTCCTAAAGCGCATCAGAGGATTAATCGAATTTCCGGTCGCCGTCTGTGCTATTAGGCGGAACTACGGAGCCGGAAAGGGACGGCGAATCGCTTGTCTGTGGATCAGTTAAGCCGAAGCGGGTCGGTGCGAGCGCGGGCTTTGAAAGTCGTCGCCAGTCGTCGGCGACCCCGACGCTGTCACTCGCCCCGTGAGAGAACTACCGAGGGCTCCTTTCGCGCTAATTCCGCAAGTACGACGAAATTCTCGAATCCGGACGACGAGTGGGACTCCGCGATTGTCAACGCGAGTCCGAGTTCGTGAAGGTTCTTCCTCGTGCGCGCGCGAGGCTAAATTAGATCTCCCGTCGTCGCCGGTCGCGTCGTTCTCCGATCTCCGTGCTCGCGAGGCTTCCCTCCTCAGGATTCCGACCGTCAGCATTCTGCCGCTGTTCGACGGTCGTCCGAAAGCTCTGGGCGCGCGATGCGCCACTCTCGGTCTCTCGGAAAATCTTTTTCGTTTTTCGAGCGAGCTCTCGCGAAAAACACGCAGCGACTCCGCTCGAAATCGCCGTCGTTTATCAATCGTCCTCGATCATCCTCGATCGGGTCGATCCTTCGATTTTCATCGCGGCCCCACGAATATGGGCACGAGCTGCGGACTCGTTTAATCGAACCGCTGCAATAATAGCGTACGTCATTTTGTCAATAGGAAATTAACGTTTGATACGTGTACGTGTCGCGTGTAAATGATGTCTGTGTGTACAACGGGTGTCGATTTCGGTGGTGGTTTGTTTGTCGCTGGCGTTGACGACGTTTCCATTGAGACGTTCTGAGAGAGAGATAGATATAGATAGAGAGAGAGAGAGAGAAAGAGAGAGAGAGAGAGAGGAGGGAGGGGGAGGTCGATGAGAGTCGTGGGTGTCTTTACGATCGCACGTCGACGGAAATACGGTAGCGTCGGGATTAAGGGGCGAGCATCTTCGACAGCTCCTCATCCTGGAGACAGCCCTTGAGGAATTCGTCCTGCGTCAGCTGTCCGTCGTTGTTCTCATCCATCTTCGCGAATATGTTCTTCGCCCTGTCCTCCGCGCTGTCCGCCGGCCTACTGCTCGAACACGCGCCGAGCATGTCGTATATCGCCTGGGAACAGAAGGATAACACTTTGTTTCTCTACGTGATATTATCGGGTTCATGTACAACCGACGTCGTCGTCGCTGATCATACTCTGAAAACTAGTCCACGCTTTGACATGTACGATGTGACATATTTATGTATAAGATGGCTTCATATATATATATCAATATTTTGAAATGCTGAACGATCGATGCCGATGTTCGCTATTTAAATGCAGAATATTCTCTTTTTCGTTTTCCATTCGCAGGATGATATCTCGTTTCAAGGCACCGTTATATTTTTAACGTTTGAAATTTCGTAAAGTATAATATGTGAATTTGATATAGAAAAATAAATCCTTTTTTATATGGTGCTTCTTTTTTTTATAAAGTACCTTTTCAGCGAATTTTCGCTATCCAGTAGATACTCGTCAAGTATTAAGATAAAGTAAAGTTAATTAATTTGAGACTTACCTTCTCGCATAATAATACACAAATAATGAGGTATAGATATGAAAGCGGCTTTAATTAGCTAGGCTTTCTACATCGATTTTAATTAAACCATAATGTGTAATGTATAGCTAAAGATCATGTGTACGATATAAACTGAAATGTAACACCTGATCTGATATTACATACTTCAAAGAAATAGACAAATGTAACATATCGTTACTTTTATACATTATTGATTTTTTTTACCAAAACATTATTTTTATTAAAAAACGCGGAAAAAAGTTCATCAGAATACAAGGTCGTGTATCATGCATTATAAGTGCAGTGAAGTCATAAATCATGAAAATCAGCGCGGGTAACGTTTTTTCAAATAAAAGTCCATCCTAAATCCATCACGAAAAGATCGAAGGTTGCGCGACTCAGACTCATTATAAAAAAACAGCACCTGATTAATGAGCATTTAACCGACCGTCGCTAAGAGCATATCTTTTTTTTGTATCCTACCAAACTGTGAAAAATACGTGAATGTATAAACATTTATTATTTTTTTTATTGTGCAATAGAAGAAAAATTATTCCTTAACAAAAAAATTATAGAAAAATTATTCCATAGTGGATTAATTATCTCTAAATAATGTGCAGCTAATTCATTTCTGTGCCATTAATTAAGCTTTTAAGTTGTTTTAAATTTTGATTGCTTTGTAGAAAAAAAATCACTAAACTAATTTAGATAAATTTTACTAAAATTAGTCATTGACAATAGAAAAGATGAAAAAATTTGTTTACTTGTCCTCGATCCCGTATTTTATTATCATCGCGATATGCATAATGCATTTGCAGCTGACCGGGAAATGGATAAAACCAAAAATTAAATTCATGTACTTGTTTTTCTTATGCATGCGATATACATGGTTGAGCAAAACTCGGCTAAGTCATAAATCGCATCCTCACAAAAATATAATTTATTGCACTCGCCGATACATCGAGTTGCTCACCCAGTGATTCTTTATTTATAATCTTTTTTTATACTTTTTTCCGATTGGTCTGCTGTAAACCGCGCGGATAGAGATGAATACGCGATATTCATTATTTTCTCACCCAACAGATACGTGAGATAAAGCGGATTAATTTTATCGCAAATATACCGATGTAGGAAATTATCATTCAAATAAAATTAATCCTCTTTTGTTTGTCTATGTAATATATATTTATCTAAAAAGATAAATAAATTATCCAATTATATGTAGATTAATTTAAAAAACAATGCAAAATTGAAATGTTGCCTCAATAATTTTTAGATGTAACATCACAATGTTCAATGATTGTACATAACAATGTTAAGTGCAATTAAACGCGCTGCTATAAACTGCCGTGTTATTTTCGTATAAAAAATTGTTCTGTCCAGCAATTGCATAAAATATATTTTTTGACAAATAATGTTACAGAATCAATTACATTTTCGATTTTTGGATCACAGAAAGGGATTCGTGGAAGCTTAAGTGGTCATAAAATCTTGCTTCACAATTTAATCCGTTTCTCTAAAGCAATGGTACCATTTTTGAAATATGATGCAACGAGTCCGCTCGTAGAGATATCGAGAGGAAGAGCGAAGCACTGTTATTCCCGGAGTTTCAACAATGGAAACACAGAGTCAATTGAGTTACAGGAATGCACGCTCCACGCACGTAGATGCTCGCAGGTCAAGTGTTAAACACGGAGGCATTGAGTTTCATCGTTCATTCAGTCGTTAATTTTCGCTACGCGTGGAAAGCTGGTTACCGGAATTCCCATGGAAGCGACGTCGCGGAAATTTCGAACTTCTAATAACGTGAGATGAGTATCCGAACGGACGCGACTAGGCTACTCGATGAACTTTTTAACGATAGCGTTAATGTGTCTCAAAGTGCCGGAACAAAGAGCTTTCTGTTGTCTCCCGGCGAAACTTTCCGACGATAATTGAAACGTTTCAACTCTTTTGGCTTTTTCAAGACAATTTTTTTACTATTTGAAATTCAGAGTGATCTGGAAAAATCGTTACTTAAACAAATAGCAATAGCACTAGAAATATGTTAAAAAAGTTATGAATATGCGTATTAAAAATAAAAATAAGAGTATCTTGCTTCGCGTTTTCTAAAGAGATTGCATGAATAAATATTTAAAAATAATAAAAAATTATTAATATTAATATTTATTTAAATATAAAATTTAATATCGACATAAAATAAATAAGTTTCTCATTTTTACTGACATGATTAAAGTTTCTTTTATTACTCAATTTTTAAATATTTTGTTCTGCTTTTTATTGCATATAAGTTGTTGATAATAATTATGTACTAGAAGAGTTGACTGAACATATTTTCCTTGTGAAAACAGATTTGAAAAAGCAAGTGTGATGAAACGCCGCGCTGAACTGCACGTAAAAAGTCTATGATATAATAATACGCTTATGAGCCACGGCATTGTCGTTACGTTTTATCATGATTTTCCGCACTCTGGCCTGCTAGCATGTAAACACAATTTTTCTATTCGAATTCACGCCCGCGATAATTAGCTTTTCCCTCGCGTCTCATGCCGCGATTTTATCTCCGTACTTTAATTTTCGAAATTTATCTTGCATAATAATTTTAAATTTTTCCAAGAAATATGCCGGCAAGAAATGTGATGTATCATCGGATTATCTTATTAGAATAAATCTAGATCTTTTTTTTATCTCTTGCTATGATTAATTCTACAGCAAAAAGTCAACATATTCTTCTTCTGTTGTGAAAATGCGAATTTCAGATCACATTTCGTTATTGACTACTTGTGAATATTCTTTCGCATATGCATGCTTATATTACCGCAAAGCAAATAGCATCGTGAATATTAAAATTATAAAAACCCACAAATTGCTATTTGAATATTAAAAACCGATTACTCCACTCACGCGTGTGCAAATGTGACCGCAATTTTGCAGAAATTTACTATGCAAGATATTTTTTTCGCGCTTACAAAATTCCACTCGTCTCCGCCTTAGCGCTCGCTGTCGCGAGGTCACAACGGGCGACACGGAAACTTGAATGACTTATTAAAAAAAATGAGCTGCGACAGCTGTATCTAATGATGCTAGCTTCGTTTCTGATATTCCGAGAAACGCGCGCAACGCCGAGTGAAACAGCCGCACAACTACGTCGACATCTGTTCGTCGTGAAGGGGTTCATGAAATATTAGTGCGCCGGTACTCGCCGCATACGCCACTCAATTCACGTAAGAAATGCAGCGAGGGAGATGCACCGGGTGGACGGTGAAAAACAGCGTTGATTTATGACCCTGTCACAACTCGCGATCGCGCGTTAATTAACCATCATGCAAATCAGCGTCGACTCATTCGACTGAATTGAGACTAATTACCTGTGTGATCTCATTACAGTTCGAATTCGAGCATTGTGCAGCGCGAAAGACGGGAAAAACAAACTCACTTCCATTAAGGCCACGCCGATAACGCAATTTTGATTTCGCGCAACGTGACTTCGCCGCAACGTAATGCATCACCGTATGTATATGCATCATGCGATGAAATTACAAATTTGCCGACGCGGGAAAAGGAAACATGCCGCGCGTATATACTCGATATAAATGTGTTACAGCGAATATGTTATGTTGCATCTCTACCTCATTGATTAGTCGCGTTACCAGCACTGACGTCAAGTGATAAAAAATTCCGTATTCCATCAGAAGCGTTGCGGTCGAGTGCGAGTAAGTGGAGATAAATCGAAGCGCATGCATTATTTATGAGTTACAATACCTGGACGATCTTCGTCATTTCTTGCATATCGATAACGCCATTGCCGTCAACGTCGTACATACGGAAGGCCCATTTCAGTTTTTCCTCCGGCGTGCCGCTCGACGTTACGTCGATCGCCAATAGGAATTCCTGCAACAAAAGACGACGGTGTCCCGCATCAATAACAGCGTCACGGGCCGCGCAATATCGAAACTTTTATTTCCGCGCTACGGCGGAATCCTCTCTCTCTCTCTCTCTCTCTCTCTTTTGTGTGAAATAACAATCTATTTCCGAAGATATATCTGCGATACGCATTTGAAAGGATCGGGTTCAGACGCTGTAATTCAAGCACCTTCGCGCTCCAAAGCCCCGGGAAATAATTCCCCGCTTCAAGTATAATCTCAGCTAAATCGGCTAAAATAATATTAGTACCGGTAGCGCCGAATCACCGGAGAAATTCAAATATTAAAATCCCGAATGTCGATTACGACACTACGCCGTTTGAGCGAGGAGCACCTTTGTTACAACACACGATGACATAACAGGATTCTGGTATGTAGAATGTTCTAATTTTGCTGCATTGAGCTCCAACGACGGATTCTGTGCTGGAAAATATCGATTCTTTGTAAATCCGATTTTTTTCCCAAAGAATAAAAAAAAATCTCGCAATGCATCGCGCGCAATTCGCCGTAATTTCGAGCAAAATCCACTTAAACAGAAAACAAGGTTTTGTGATTTCCTCTACAATTTGTCTTATTGAATCTACTGAATCCGTCGAAACTCTTTAATCTCCCCAGTGCTCAATATTCCTCGAAAACTCTCATGTCTCGCTTATCCTCTCCTCTCGTCAATAGCGCCTTCAATATTCCAGAGACACGCTATCGATCACGGTTCATCGACGGATACACCGTCCCCGGGTTATGGCACTTTTTACGGGCATCGGCTCTACGTCGCGCGTTACCGCGCGACGCAAAATCGCGTAAAAGCTCGTGGTCGTGATGATCGACGCGGCACAATGGCGTTCGTGATACGCGCGCCCGACGAATTTGTCGGGTCGAATACGCGTGGGCGCCCCTCACGCCTCAGGCCCGATACTTTTCGAGCATCACCGGAGTCGTTAGAGAACGGTACATTCCGGCAGAACTGGGTCACCTGCCGCCCGAGGTAGACAAACGAGACGGAGAGCTTTATAGAGCGGAATATAGCGGGTGGACGGACGGACGGATGGTGGGCGGACCGGCTCTTTGCTCCTCCTGACCTCTGAAGTGTCGCCACTTCTCGTATTGACCCCCGAGAGAAAGGTAGAAGGGGGGGGAGAGAGAGAAAGAGAGACGTCGTTTTCTCTCCGACTAGCCTTAGGCTTGTACTTATTTTAGATGCAGCTTACCCGCGAAGCTCGCGAAAGAGTCCGAGAGAAACGTTGGTTGATGTCGAGGAGAGAAAACATCTTTGTGATGCCATTAGCCGGCTTTACAGACACTATGCTCGTGAGAATGAATGCGAGGCGAATGTTGAGAGAAGAGCAGAGTGGTTTTCTTCAGAAATGAGGGCTTTTCCGAGCGGCGCTCGCAATTGGTATTCCTCAAGTTAACATTTACAGAAAAATAGTCACTTGGAATGCATGAAGCGAGTGGTCGATCAGAAACTTGGCCGCGAGAAAATCGCGGATATAATAACAAATCGCAACAATCGGCGGTGGAAAATTTGTAGAACGAATCGGAGATCCGATGTTACTGTTTGTGTTGATCAAATAGAAGGGTTGGTTATTCGCGCGAGTCGGAAGTCGAAGAAAATTGTACAATTTTGCCCATCGTTAGCTCACATGTTGCACGACGTTTTATTTTACGTATCAATTTTATCGCCGTCGCAAGCTTATAACAAATTTGTGCGATTTTTTTAAATTAAAGCAGAATTATTCATTTTTATGACAAAGCGATGATGTAAAATATTTATCATAGAAAATTTGGATACGTGAGATAATTTTTATATAAAATTATACATTAGAATATTGGAATAACTAAAATCGATCTTGTTGCACAACAATAAATTTTGATTAAACATAGAAATTCATCATTGAGATAAATAAAATAAGTTTTAAATATCATTGCATATCTCAATTCTGGTACTTCTAAAAAAAATCTACGACTAATTGTAAGATGTTATTTTTAAATTACAATTTTATGATGAATACAGAATCAATTTTTCCTCAGCAAAAAAATTTAACTGAAAACCGATAACTTTGAATTGTAAAAAAGTGAACAACTTTTATCGAAGTAAACTTTAAAAATCGTAAAATAAAAAAAACGATAGCAAACTTTTATCCCTTTTATCTCCGAATCATTTTCTTAATAAATTTGCAATATTTCCAATTTAATTGCTAAAACATCATTTAATATTCAGAATAAAAATTCTCCTGAAAAAGAATTCACCACATTCATGGCTTTATAAAATATATAAATGTCTCGGAATATAATTTTTTCGAAATGTGAAAAATCCACAATACCTTCGCTCGTTGCTTGGTTGGAAGCAATTTGGAGGACAAAAGTCGTCCGTGGTTTTTAATTGAGGTGAAATGTTTTCTTGGCGAGGGATCTTGAAAATAAGCATCCAAAGAGGGGAGTTTCTTAATTAGAGAGTTGAACAAGTATGCCATTTAATTTTCAATAAACCTGCTTTTCTTCAAATTATACAAGCGACGATTCAAATTATATAAGCGACGATTTACACTAATGTGTTTTTAACGTTCGCAATTGTGTTTTTGATACTCAACTGTCAAAAGGTTAATCAGGTTAAGTCAGTGGTATATCACGCGAGTGAAAACACCGAGGGGGGAGAAGATCCAGCGCGAAATAGAGCGGACGCTTCAAGGCGAACTACGCAAATCTCGAACGTTGAGAAATGCTCTTCCCACGAACACAGGCGTTCGAAATGGACTTTCAAAATGAATACCGGCGCCCGATGGACACTAATGGAAATGCGGGCGGCTGAAGGGTCGCGATCAAGCGCCTTTTAAGAGAAAGGAAAGGTCAAACCCGGTTCGTGACCCAAGGTCGAACATAAAAGTGCAGAGTAGCTTTTTATAAAACATACACTTTTTTCTAGCGCAGACTACGCGACGTACCTTTTACTTTGCTGCAACGTAACACTCAGCACTTTATATAGCCATATGTCGTACGTAAGAGCTGCATAGCTATTTTTAGAAAGATCTTTAACAATTTCTTAATAGATTCAATTTAGATTTAAATAACAATTCTTGTGTAATGATCGCAAGTTCGTTGCACAGCAGCAGATAAGTAAATTGATATTCTGGCATAAAAAGAAAAGCTAACGCCTGACGGAATTATTAAAGTATTGTACTTAACTTGTCTCAATGCTATTTGGTTTGACAAATATAAACAAATAACGCTTCTACAAAGGAGATCGTTATATAGGAAATAAAGTTGGAAATCGTGCTTTCGAAAATTCTTTTCAGATTAACTTTTCAGGCGAGTCTTTAGCCAGACAACTTTCAGCCCCAAATGGTGCGTCCGGATGCAACAATGCAATTATACGGTGCGCGAAAAGTTTCCCAAAGAGGAAAGCGTGAATGAAGTTTGTACCTTCTCTCTGAAATCTTCGCATTCTCAAATAGCAGCTAAACTGCAAAACGCTCGTAACAGAGAGCGGTTTTTATTAAACTGCGAAGAAATTAAGTCATCGGATTAAATTCTACTTCAATCGATTTTGTTGTCTTCTTTTAAATGATTATTTCTGAATAAAGTTTAAGTAATTTATTTTTTTTTAATAAAAAATTATGCGACATAAAGGTTTCTTTTTTTTAAACCATTCTACTTGTCATGCGTAAAATGTCACACTTGCGTAAAGTTAAATAATAATAATGTCACAGTGACTTTCGCCGCAGATACAGAAAATGCCGCATAAACTCGGATGCAGAGAAATGGCGGAATATATCAACGTCCAAGGTGAAGAATATTTGTCATGTCACTAGTTCATACATACGGCGACTGAGTGAATGCAAAGCAGTGTTTATGCAGAACGGAATGTTTTCGATTCTCGAGATGCTTGTCAGGATCCTCGGATACTGTCAGGAAAAGACGATAAATGTAAACGAGACTCGAATCCTTCGCAAATAAGAAAAGTTGCAAGAACGCCGTGATAGCTAAATCGCGCATCATTTATCATTGTTCCATCGGAATTGTTGGGGAAATAAAGTTTAAATTGTCGGAAGTTTTGGCTAAATCCCTAATAGCCGTTCAATGTGTAAACCAGTTAAATTAGTTCATCACTCTTTCCCGCACAAGTTTGATGAAGGAAGTTTCGTCATCCAAAATTTATATCTTGATAAGCGATACAAGCGTGCATTCTCGGTTCGCCTAATTCTAATTTAATAAAAACAGAGAGAGGAAAAAAAGAAGGTATATCAACATATAGCTTATAAAGCACAGATGACGGAATAAAAAGAAAATTCTGTTCGCAAAAATTAAGAAACACAATATGCTAAAAAACTATTTTTTTATATTGTGTTTCAGAGTATTTCAAACTACGCTTAGAAAAGTGCAAGAAAATTGATCATTACATTTAAAAAACTGAATAAGAAATTTTTCCAATCCATCACAACCAATTTAACGTCAACGTATTATACTTTCTCATAAAAAAAAAGACATAAATTCCATCACTCATTATTGTCACCATTGTTATCGATGTCGCGGAAAGTCGAGGAAAGTTTTCTTCATTCAGCCAATATCACGAGAGTTAAACTCAGGCGATGACTTTTCTCCGAAGAAAAACGGGCAGCACGTAAGAAAACTGATATTATTATATCCAAAGCGGAAACGATACGCAGCTTTCAACAAAAGGGAGCGGGTCTTTGTGCGATTATTATAGGCAAGCCATCGGTTTCGATATGACGAAGGAGACGATCGAATAGGAATCATGGTCGGCTCGCGTCTTCCGGTCCGTTATCGGTGTAGCTCGCGCGTTTTCAGCTCCAGCGGATTGCAAATGCCGGTGTTGACGACAATAGCGGCGCACAATACACGCGCGAGAAGTCAAACCACGTCGTAGGTTTATTCATAAACCGCGGACGAGCGTCAGAGGATAATAGGCGTTTACAGTCTCTGCAAGTGTGTTGTATACAATAAGACAGAACTTCGACTCGCGGGGGGAGGTGCAACTGGAACTTTCGTATCGGCGAACTGAAACTTTGCCATACAAAGAGCTCGGGGATTTCTTAACTGCCGCGCGGTCGCGAGATACGACCGCCAGGCAGATTGCATCTGGAGTTCGTGCTCGCGATTAGAACGTAAATTGGTGCCGCTGCTCATAGCCGACCGATTCGATATTACCCTCGATACTTTCCCGATAATTTGTTACACGCGACCGCAGAAATAGCCACTTTTGCAATATGTTCCGAATAAAAATAAAATATTTCCAATTGTTCCAGCAATAAAATATCAGATACCCGTAAAACTACCATTATTTACATCTCCGTTTTATCTAATAACATACATTATATAATAAAATATATACAGAGTGTTTCTCTTCTTTTCTGCCGTCGAATAAATTTTAATTTGCGAAATTTAAAGTCGACTTTACTTCATTAAGCAGGATAGTTAAATGTTTAAGTGGAGTCTCAAAGAAGTAAATAATTTATTATAAACTTAATGAGTGTTTATAGAAAAAAAGATTGCAAGTTGATTGAGTACTTTACTCATTAACACGAGAGATAAGTTGAAGATAACCCGCTCCAATAATCCCGTCTTCCGGCGGCCTCCGTAATTAACTATCGCGCCGAGGCGCGTACTCTCTACTCCGAGATTAAAGGTTACGCAGCGAAAAGTGAACATTGAGCGCAAGAAGAAGATTGGGGTGATTCTTGACACAAGTGACTGAAAAGTCACTCGGGCGCCGAGCGCGTAATGGTTTCCCGTGGCAAATTGTAGTTGACCGGAAAGCTTTGATCAGCGATGCGGTGGAAAACTACCTCACAAAGCGCGCAACGTTAGACAAAGCGCGAGGTTTTATCCGGCGTATTCGGGTCAGATGTCAAATAGCTATTCGTCGATTGGCGAACACGACGACGCGTCGCACCTTGAGCGAACCATATTAAATTACCGGCGATGGATATCCGCTCGCTACGCTGACAAACGCAAAATCGGGGCGCAACGCGAAGCAACTCCTCTTGAAGGGATCCCCTCGCCTCGGGTCGCGCGCGATTTCATAAAGCGACTCTATTTACTGACTGACTAGCTCTACTTGTAACACAAGTCGTGTCACTCACGATTTCAATGGAGAGTGAAGAAAGTAAATTCTTGAAGATGAGAATAAAGGATTTTCACCCGTAAACAATCAAGCGTGAAAGAATATGCGATTTCAAGTATTCGAAGGATCCACGTCGTCGCGCTTATCGAGCGTGTAATCGGATGTGACGGCGTTTTTTTTTTTTGCGCTTTCAACGATGCCAAGATGAGAAACCGTGTACTTTATACCGCTGCTATCTCTCGCTGTTGGCAAATCTTTTTATTCGTTATACAGACTACGCTCCTGGGAAATTTCCAATAACGGGACTCCTCACACCGCCGATCGATCTAAATTCGCGCGGCGAATGATATTTCCACGGCGCGAGGATGCAATTTCGATGTAAGTATTGTGGCACTTCTGCGAACCAATCAGCCGCGCGGATTTCGCCGCGAACGATCGTGTTTAATCACGCGGAATGATCGGCGTGTGACGTGGGTGCACGGCGTCATTGTACGGATCATTACGGTAACACGCGCAATTTACGTCCTGTAAGGAACTCGAGAGGCTCACCTTAAAATCGATGTAGCCATTCTTGTCCATGTCGAATGTGCGGAAAACATGGTCGCAGAATTCCTCCGCGTTGCCGGACGGGAAGAACATTTTGTACATGTCGACAAACTTCGCCGGCGTTAACCTGCCGTTAGGACAGTCTTGCTGCAACATTCCAAAAAAAGTTATCGTGAATCCTAAAGCTGTTAAGATTTTCATATTTATAATTTCTTCTCGGAAATTTATATTGTTCTAATTAAATCGTGTCACATAAAATAATACTTTCTTAAAACACTGTCAGACGTAATAAAACCTTTTCACGATTAATAACTTTTACGCTTCCTACAAATTCAATATAAGATTTATTAAATATAAATATCAATTCTCTGATTAAAAATACTTTACCAAGATTACATTGCAAATGTCAAACGCGACTTTCACTTTCGCGAAGATTTCCATCGATTGGGAGATCCTTTTAAGCGGATTCGCAGGACTTAGAGGGAAAGAAATCTCGTCGTTTCGGTATCGCGACTCTCCTCGTATCAGATTGTCCCTAATCTAGTATCGTATTCGTCACAGCCTGTTCAAAGCGAGCGGGTGGGCGAGAACGCCGCACCCGCGATATTTTTCAATCTCCTTCAAGCATGCTCCCCCGCGAAGGTCGATACGCGTCGGCGGCGATCAGCCTCCATTTATTTCCATTCGAGTCGACGGTGTCATGTGTGATTCATTGCGGACCGCGCGAAGCGATCCGAAGCTGAGACACGACCGGATTGCGGAACGTCCGCTAACGACTTCGCTTAGTTTAATTAGTTCTCGGCGCCACGAATTCTGCTGGACTCGCGCCCGTTCAAATTCACGCGAGAGGCACGTGCACAACTTTTCCGCGACACTAGCAGCTTCCGCGGAAACGTCACGTTTTATTCGCGAACATTCGCTCTGCAGCTCGAATGCGAGCCGAGTCTCCGACGAAGCGCCGTAATCGAGATTAATTTATCTCGCAGGACCGAAGCTCTCTTTTCGCCCGACTATTTCCCGACGTGTCTTTTATAAAGGTGCTTCGCGTGACTACCAGAAAATTAATCAGTTCTACATTTTAGACTTAATTGGCTCCTGCAGGATGTCGTTAAGCGACATGCACAATGTGCAACGGGGGGAATCTATTCACGTGTATATATGAGATGAAATTTCCGCGTAAATGCCGTGTACGCAAAGATGAGATAATCAACGCCGACAATGTCTTAATTAATGCGACAATATGGTAAAGACGATTTCAAGAGACATGAACTCAATGAATACTCGCGGAGTTGAATAAATATCATATTGTGTGGATAAGATAATGCATCGCGAGTTAAGGCCGCTCTAATTGATTTAGCAAAACCATCAAATTTGCCATATGGCACATTTCAATTTATCAAATATTTATTGTACTTAATCAAATATTTTATGTAACGTGTCATAAAATTCACATAAATACGATTCATTCGGAATTGTTAAATATTTAATGAATAAATACAATATATGGAATTACATTTAGATCATCTCATACATGAGCGAATTCCAATATACAATATAATACACATTATTCATTCATATATTATTAATTATACCACATGGTATATTAGCTTTTAATTATTAATACAATACAATGAAGCCTCTATCAAAATGTAATTAGATGGATACTATGTGACAAAACACCGTCAAAGATAGCACGAAAGAATTAAACAAGTCTTTCACATTTGTACAAAAAATTAGAAATATCATCGTATTCGAGTAACTTTCGTTGTTATAATTGAGAACTTCACAAATAAAATGTAACAAAATAATCCATTATAAAATGCGTTAATAATTGATAAGAATATCTCTACAATTTTAGGGTTCTACCTTTCTGTGAATGACGAAATGAGCTATGGACATGATTTAACCGCGGATTTCTTATTTACGAAATTTCACAACCGTGAATTCCTGTATGTACTTTGTAAAAGCACTCTCTGTGCTTTTACGAGGGAAAATTTTCTAGGCAGCAGCCTTTCTACATCTGGCCATGCTTGTGAAATATCACGGCATGTTTAATGCGGCATAATTGCGGATATGAGTGGTATTGCGTATTTATTCCAGACACATATTATAAATGCATCGTGATATTTATTAATACACTCGTATCAATTTTATTTGTATCAAACTTTCGTAAATTTCTTTCTATTACGATCACGAAAGAATAGTCATAACAGTTGATATTAATTAACGGTAGGTTTTATCCATTTTTATGCGTTTTAATGCGGAATTATATTTTTTTAATAAAAGAATTCTTATTTATACATTCTAGATATGAAAATTCATTCATTTATCATGTATATATTCTCGTATATATTCTCTTTGCGCACAATACGCTTCTATTTTCAATAGAGCTTTAAAGCTCATAACGTTTTTTACAATATCTGTTGTAAGATATAATGTGTTAACACAAATGTGTTGATAAATATTTTAAAAAATCAGTAATTTTAATAAATTACAGAATATATAAAAGAGAATATAAAAAGAACAAAAATTTTGATTAACAAGAGATAAGTTTAAGCGATTAAAAATTATTCAAACGGCGTGAATTAATGATAAAGTATTGCACGTCGCTAACACGCAATGAATTATTCACTCAAAACTGCTTTAAGATACCTACGTCAGAGGAAAATTGTGATTGCAATATGATTGCAACGCCATTTACTTCTTACTGCAAAGTCATACCCGTTCTATACTCATCTATCATTGTTATTATCCGTAGACAAACAATGGGAGCACTTAACGGCGTAAGCATTCCAACAATAGGTCATAAATAAGAGTAGAACGTAGAAATAAGAAAGATACTTTCAGAAATACGCTTCGCGTGAAAAAAAGTTTTTCGCGCGAATAACTGATACTCACTTTAAAGCCTTTGTACCATTCCTTTATGGTTGCTTCGTCGTATCGCGTATGCGACTTGAGGAAGTCCATATCCTCCTTGCTCAACTTGTCTTTGCTCCCAAAGCAACCCATTTTGATATCTGCAACAATCAATGAAACATTCCGTGAGAACAATTCGGCGAAATTTTCCACTGCAACGTAAGGAATATTTTCGCGATGCGCGATATATCGTCAAAATTCGTGCAATTAATTTAAATGTAAAAATATATAACTCTAGAGATTATTTTATTCCGCATTTTTGTGAAATGTGCATTTTTTTATCGTAATGTAAAGCCTCGACCTCGAGCTTTTGCAGATTTAGATTAACGATTTCGCTCAGAGTGAACCACCGCTCATCGCAGTTTACGTAAGCAATAAAACTTTCGTTTGCACGACGTGTTTTTCCTTTCGAAGCCAGTCTGAGCCAGCCATCGCGCGCCGCGCATATTAACGTCGGAGAATTATGTCAGCAGCATTGAACACGTTATAAACCCGTAAAATAAGTTGGATAGTTTGGTGGCGCCTTCCATTTTCCTAACTTCATTCCCCTCTATCTTGTTTTTCCACGAGAATCCCTAATTTATTTCGACTTATCGAGGGGGGGAAAAAAAAACGTTCCACATATTCCACCTTGGAAACCATCCATCTTTCCGAAGTCTCGCTTAACTCGTATTATTTCGATCGGGGGATTCCGAAGTTCCATTTCTCCGGAGTCACACGCGCAACAAGCGCCGCGTTTCAACCAGAATTAATTAGGAACAAAAAATATCGTTTCATTTCTTAGAGAGAATATTATAACTTGATCCGCGTTTCAATTGTAAGCGAAATGGAATTTTAATGCATTCATTTCTTTGAGAGAAGAAATAGGATCTCTCATTGCAAAATGGATATTTAATTCCCTCAGGGGGGAGAGAAACTGAGCATTAAAACTCCATTTTCGTCCGCGATACGTCGGCAGAACGATATTATTCCCGACCAGCAGATTTCTTGCGAGATTGCGCGAAAATGACTTTAATTGATACCTCGTGTGACATCTGTAAGTGCAGCGGCACGAAACCGATGTTCGAGATAACGGGCAACGGAAGTCCCTGCCTGTTACGTGGCGAGAGACCGTGTGCAATTTTCGACATATCATATATTGGCGGCACGCACGAAATGCACGCAATGCATGCTCGTCGATTGCACCCTCCGCCGAAACGCGTCGTTGCCATAACTGGCAGGATATCGAAACCAGGCGTGATCGGAATAATGATGACGGACGCGTACGTGTCTATTTTGTGAAGGACGTGTCTCTTTCAGTTTGTTACTTTAAATATCTTCCGTTTCCCAAATAGTCTTACAAAAAGCATCCTATAAAAAGTATTTTAAAATACTATAATACTCTAAGCAAAAATGTAAAGAAATTTTCTACGACAAATTTGTAAGTTATGTTGCATTTCCTCAGGTTTTACATTTATTCGCTCAGTTTTAACTAATTTGGGGTTAGAAGAAAAAAATATTCGGATCGCTTCCAGCGATTCCCCACGATGTGGGGTTACTCTTTATGACCAACTTCGGTCCAATGGTGCTATAAATCCTAACTTCGTCGGAGATTTATAACACCATTCGGTTGGGGTTATAAATTCCCGACAAAGGGATTTATAATTAAACGCAACTAAAATTAGACAATTAAAATTGGCTGGCAAATAATATTAGACGTAAATTTAATTATAAATCACAAGCTGAGTAAAACGTGACTCTGAAAGATAAAAAATAGTACATGTGACATTTACTACGTTATCTCATTAAAATAACATCATTTTATTAAGAAGATTCGAGTTTCGAACATTTTCTGTAGAATATCAAATTTTCAGTAACCATAAAAATTAAAATTTCAGGAGCCGAGATCGTCCTTCTGCGTCTAAAAATGCATGTCGTTAAAAACGTCCCACTTTTTTAAAAACACCACCGAGATCTTCAAGGATACAATACTAAATATTTCACGATGTCGTATAAATAATAAAGAGAAATAGAACACAGTAGCAGTTTAAACGTCAAAGTTCGACAATAAATATTAATTTAACGTCAAAAGGACAAAGTACAAAGTGTATTTTGACAAATTAATCTCAAGGATGTACAAGCAGGCGATAAAAAATTCAGCAATCATCTTCGTAAATGAACGTTTTGTACACCCAGCGGTAACGACGGAAGGATTAATTGTTATGCTGACGTTGGCGCGCGACTAATGTAATAAATTAGTGCCGATACGCGACTGGAATTATGAGAAACACACACACACACACACACACACACACACACACACACTCTCTCTCTCTCTCTCTCTCTCTCTCTCTCTCTCTCTCTCTCTCTCAATCTCTCGGCGAAACGGAGAGGATCCGCGGGGGGACATTCGGGGGAAGAGAAGCGGTCGCGACTCGTGACCGGCTTGAGAACGACAGTTGTCCGTGGCCGGCCGATTTAATGGACCCCTCCGGCGACACCGTCAACGCTTAGTGCCCGTCGAGTGCTTCTGTGTTGTCCGGGAACGTCGCGAAGCACGAAACACGTAAACGTAATTAACACCGGCGTTGCCCTTTGCGGTGGCGCCGGACGAACGCCGATGAAGTCGCGCCCGGCTATTTACGAGATTAAACGAGGAGATGAAGATTAACGGGCCGCCAGAAAAGGAGAGAGAGAGAGAGCGCGAGAGCGAGGTTAGCATGTGTACGTGCCCGAGTTTCGGGAAGGTCGTTGATTATTCCGTGGCGAACTACACCACTCGAGTTAATGCGCCGCAGTCGCGCGGTTAACTTTAAAGTTCTCGCGGGAAGAAATTATATGCCCGAGGCCTCTATAGATCCCCGCCTCCCGGCGAACACTTTAAACTGTTGCTAAGAGAAATTAGGTGCACATTCACTGTATATTAATTCCCGCTGTGGAAAGTTTTCGCTGTTGGAAGCTTCTCCTTTTTTTTTTAATCGCAAGAAAACCGACGAAACACCGCTGAAAAGAATTTATCGATCGCGTTCCAGATGAGAGGCGAGATTATAGTTGCTAATGCACCTTTTTCTCTTGCTCTTATTAGTTGATCTTCGGGGAACTTCGGTAAATGAGTTAGGGAACTCGCTCGAGAGCAAATTGTGTTCTTGATGTCTTTGCAATCCGTAGCTGATCATTTGAATAAAATTGTTACCGAAGAATTAAATAGGAGTACGCACATTTGCATATATTAATTTCGCCGCGATATTGCACCCTTAATGTCAACAAATAGCGATGGAAAAGTTGAAGTTAAAATTGCTAATGGACTATCTATCGTTGCGCTTGCTGCTCGGCAACTTCAGTCTTTCACTGATCTCGATAACTGAATAAAATTGTTGCTAAAAATTAACATACTTTGCCACTTTCACTGCTCTTAGAGACACCATTGAGAGAGTACGAAACGGATAATAAACTTCGACTAATTATATTCAGTATTTAAGAAATAGAACTGTAAAGACAAATACAGCGATCCAGCAATGCTCGCATGATAATTAGTTGTTTGAAGAAAGAGTCATTACTCTAATTACTCTATTGACGCTTTTAATATAAAAGGCAGCGATGAAAGGATAACGATCACTTCAAGTAATGAAGAGCCCTTTCTCATTTTAATTTCAGGCAAATTTTCATTGAAGTTTTGTAAAACGCTTTAATATACGAGTGCACGAGTATTCTTGTCAGATTAAAATACGATGAAAAGATTGCAGCTAAAATATTCGCATCTTAGAATTTATCTTACGTCTAACAGTTCTCTGTGCATATTGTTATTAAAAAGCATTATTATCGCGCGAAAAAAAAATGATACACATGATATCTTAATTCGTCGACGCAATGACTGCTGCACTTTTATGATGCATAGAATATTTCGTAATCATTGATCCTCACACGTGGGGAACATTTATAGCAGCTGGCATAACTATCGCGCGGCCGATCGGCTGTCTTTAGCACCGACGACAAAGAATTAACACCAGAGTGTCCGGCGGTGTGCGCATTGGCGATTGCATTGACATCTGCATCACACGCATCGCGCAGCGCTCGTAACGCGCCGTCACCGCCGCCGCTCATTGTCGTCATCGTCGTGAAATGCACCGTGGAACGACTCATTTACAGGGAGCTGAAAACGGGCATGCCATGTGTGTGTGTGTGTGTGTGTGTGTGTCGCGCCGACGTGGCACCTTTTGTTTTTCACCCGTTGTTCTTCAGTGGCCGTGGCTATTGTGCCCATCGCCCGCGGCGATTTACTCGCGGCATTATCCGCCGTCCCTTTTAACGAAATGTTATACGGCAAATGTGAGCAGATTAAGCGTATCGTACACATGACGCTCCCCCGCTTACAAGTGGCGTGTAAGGACGACGATTCGACGATGTCCGATTCAACGAGACGAATTAGCGCGCGTGTAGCGCTCCGCGCATATTTGAACCGAAGGAGCTTGAAGATTATCGACTGTTATTTTAATTCATTTTTTTCAGCTATACTGTTTATTTTGCAGTCTGTTCTGCGTGCAATGATCATTAAACCAAAAGAATATGAAAAATACAATAAATTAGCATTATGAAAAAGATAAGTTCTGAGAATAACGATGTATTTATTTTCAAAATTAAAATTTCTGCGATGCAAAAGAGTTTCAAACAATAAGTTGATCTTTGGAGGTTTTTTTTCCAGTTAATTTGTCTCTATATCGTTCTCGCAGAATCGAACGATGTGTTACTCAACTGTGCAAACACGTAACACGATACTGCAGAGCGATATCTAAAATAGATATTTGACCATACGTAGCGATCGATCGCACAGAAGGCCCCAATGTTTGCCGCGGCAAGTCGAAAACGAAGCTTGCATTCTATTTATCTATGCAATTTTTGCGAGCTCGCGATGACAATTAATTCATCACGGATGAGCGAACAGGGATATACAACACTCCTCCACGGTCGTGTTACTGAAACGGTTTTATAGCCGAGTACACTATTAATAATGATGATGTCTATTATTAATAGTGCACTTGGCTGTAAAACTATCTGCGGCGTAGGCGAGGAAGGGCGTCTGCGAAATGTGTATCGACATGCAATTTATTGCTTCGACGATAAGATG